AGAAATCACCCCCCAGGGGGGATGGTCACGCCGCAATCCCTTCTCCTCCATTCTCCTCTCGGGATCTTGGGCACGCACGCACACGTGCCCGGCGTGAGTTTTAAGCCACCGGGTCCGGGACACGAACCGCGGTCGACTACGTGGGAGTCCAGCGGCATAGCCATTACGCTAACTGCTGGTTCCCACACTTCAACCACTTTTTCAGTGTCTGGTTTTTAAACAAGCAAAGTGAAAGCAGTTGGATATTTCCTGAGAGATGAGTACTATTATTGATCATTTCATACAATATGCTCTGCTTACTGTAGATCTTGGATGGCAACATCTGAGATGGTATTAGTAGGGTAAAGAAAGAAAAGAAGCAGGGAGAAATTTTTAGAAGCAGCATTAGTATTCTCAAAAGTCAGAACAATTGCCTGTTGATAATTAATGTGAAGTTTTCTTCCCAAATGATTTGGACCCTACTCTGCAACGTACTTCTATTTTTTTCCGAGTGGAACTTTCCTTTTTTCTTTTTTTGAGAGGTTTTTGCTTTAGGGTGCTTACGCTCGCCAGAAAGACAGAGAAATAGAAAGCGCGAAATCAGCCCCCAGGTGGGATGGCCACACCGCAATCCCTTCTCCTCCATTCTTCTCTCAGGATCTTGGGCACATAGGCACACACACCTGCCCAGTGTGAGTTTAAACCACTAGGTCCGGGACGCGAACCGCGGTTGGCTACATGGGAATTCAGCGACATAGCCATTACACTAACTGTTGGTCCCACTTTCAATTATTTTTTCCTATAATTTTGAAACATTACCAGATACATAGCATTTGATTGGAATATACTAGGCAGTTGGAAAAATACTCAAAACTAAGTCGATATTAATTTTAGGTAAGTGTCCATTAAAAACAAAGCATTTGGATGTGTGATGTTTCTTTATATGCTACTAAATAAGTTATAATGAGTAGACAAATATCTCTTTGTCATGGAGGCTCCACATTCAAGGCAATTGGTTTTTTAAATATTGGCTCTCTGAAAAAATTTCCCTTTGTTTTTATTATTTGTATGTTATTAAAAAGTTAGTGTCACGGGACCAGCAGTTAGCGTAATGGCTATGTCGCTGGACTCCCACGTAGTCGACCGCGGTTCACGTCCCGGACCCGGTGGCTTAAAACTCACGCCGGGCGCGTGTGCGTGCATGCCTAAGATCCCTAGAGGAGAATGGAGGAAAAAGGATTGTGGTGTGGCCATTTCCCCTGGGGGGTGATTTCTTGCTTTCTGTCTCTCTGTCTCTCTCTGTCTGTCTGGCGAGCGCATGTGCCCTATAGCAAAAACCTCTCAAAAAAAAAAAAAAAGTTAGTGTCAGCCAATTAACTGAAGTTATACTTCTATACTGGAACACATTTAAATTACTGAGTATAGTACTGCTGCTACTACTTTTTTAGTTTAAAATGTATAACTTGGTTATTAAAAAGTTAATGTCAGCCAATGAACTGAATTTATGCTTCTGTCCTGGGGCACATTCAAGTGACTGAGTGTAGTAGCGCTGCTGCTGCCTTTTTAGTTTAATATGTATGACTTGGCGTTTTAAAATACAAATTATGAAGTTATTTGTGGAGAAACTAAAGAAGTTGCACAACTGACTGAAAGAAAACACTTGGGGTAAGTTTAGTGGAGGAATTGGAATCCCCAAAAGACTAATATTTTTCTCCTAATTTTAACAAATGAAATGCCCTCCCTGTTAATCCCTAAAGATTTTTTATTGCTACTATGCCAGACTCTAAAATAGTTCTTTTTAAAATGGAATCTATATATTTACTTTCTTATCGATCATCTTTTTTTGGAGAGGGTTTGCTATAGGGCGCGTGTGCTCGCCAGACAGACAGAGACAGAGAGACAGAAAGCAAGAAATCACCCCCCAGGGGGGATGGCCACACCGCAGTCCCTTCTCCTCCGTTCTCCTCTCGGGATCTTGGGCACGCACGCACATGTGCCTGGCGTGAGTTTAAGCCACTGGGTCTGGGACTTGAACCGCGGTCGACTACGTGGGAGTTCAGCGACATAGCCATTACGCTAACTGCTGGTCCCATCAATCATCTTATTGTGCAATCAAAATTAGAGTTCTTTGGTTTGAAAATAACACTTAGAACTTCCAGATAACTTTTAAGACTTAATTTAGCTTTGTGGGTTTTATATTTTGTAGACATTGTGGTCCTATTTTAATGATCTTTGTATGGCAGTATGTATATAATGTGTTAAGTTCCTCAAAAATCTCCCCTTAAAAACTTTGAAGTTAATACTTTTTTGTGTAACTGTGTTTTGAATAAAGCCCTGACAGTGTTAAAAATAAACCAGAAAAAAAAGACTTTAATTCACTTTGAGTTGATTTTTGTGTAGTTTTTTTTTCTTTTGCCTGTGGATATCCAGTTTTACCAACAGTATTTATTGAAAAGGCTAGCCTTTTCTTATGGTGTCTTCTTAGTGCCTGGTTGTCCATGAGTTGGCTGTATATGCTTGGATTATTTCTGTGCTCTCTATTTCATTGGTCTGTACATCTTTTTTTATGTCAATACCACACTGTTTTGATTACTATAGCTTTGTAATATAATTTGAAATGAAGTGCGAAACCTCCAAATTTTTTTCTCTCAAGATTGCATTGGCTTTTGAAGGTCAAATTTTAGGCAACTTTTAGAATTATTTTTTCTATTACACTGATCTGGAGGTCACTTTGGATAGGATAGACATTTTAACAATAGTATTTAATCCATGAACACAGGATATCTTTCTGTTTCTTTGTGTCTCCAGTTTCTTTCATCAATGTTTTACGGTTTTGTTGTTTAGACTTTCAGTTCCTTGAAATTTATTCCTAAGTGTCTTATTTTTATTTTTGATGCTACTTTAAGTGAGTTTTTTTTTTTTAAGGTTTTTGCCATAGGGTGTGTGCACTCACAAGAGAGACAGTGAGAGGAAAGGTGAGAAATCACCCACCCACTGCAGTGGGAATGGGCATGTATGCATATGTGCCCAGTGTGATTTTTCAAGCTGCCAGGCCCAGGACTTGAACCACAGTTGGCCATGTGGGAGTCTTATCTCCTTTACCACCACACCACATGCTGGCCCCTGGATAGTTCATTTTAAGTGTCTAGAAACATAACGTGTTTTTGTATGTTGATATTATATCCTGAAACTTTCCTGAAATTTATTTTCTAGTTTTAACAGTTTTGTGGAATTTCTTTTTTTCCCATGGTAAAGACTGTTTCACTGTTGGCAGGTAGCACAAGTCAATAAATATTGATCTCTAAAGAAGAGCTCAGTTATTTATTAGATTACTTGTCCCTGGAGAGCTAAATGAAATTGACTCAAATGATGGCAAGATAGAATGACTGAAAAGAATTCTTGGAAAGCGAAGCCATACCCAACTGATATGCGGCATGTGCTTTTACACAAACTGTAAGAACTGTTACAGCTCTGTGCAGAAGAGCATTGGCTACCCCACACTTTCGATGCACTAGAATTCCATTACCCTCCTTAAACAGCTTTTGTTATCTGGAACTTTATTTTCAAAATGACTATGTGAAGCAGGACTTGTCCTCTGGACAGTCTGAGGAAAAGCCAGCAAATTCTGCTGTATCTTGACTCAGGTACTGCATGCCACCTATGACCTGTGGAGTGTTTAGGGCTTCCTACTTACAGGAGCATGTCATCTGCAGACTGAAAGAGTTTTACTTCTTCCTTTCTAATTTGAATGCTTTTTACTTATTTTTCTTGCCTGATTGCTCTTGCTAGTACTTCCAGTAATGTGTTGAATAGAAGTAGTAAGAGTGGATATCTTTCCTTGTAGCAAAATAACCCAGTTCTTTAATAGCAGGATTGTGGGGGTATGGGGGGTTCATGGTTTTATCCTGAAGGGGGCATTGGGCTTAAACACTGAATGAGTGACTGATAGAAGAGGGTGGTCTGAGGTCCCAAGGGAGAGAAGCAGGACCAAGTAATGGAACTATAAGGAAGCAACTGGAAAATAGGTCTGGAAAAGACAGACATAAGGTATATATGAATCTTTTTTTTTTTTTTTAGAGGTTTTCTCTATAGGGCGTGTGCGCTCGCCAGACAGAGAGAGACAGAGAGACAGAAAGCAAGAAATCCCCCCCCGGGGGGGATGGTCATGCCACAATCCCTTCTCCTCCATTCTCCTCTCGGGATCTTGGGCACACACGCCCGCCGTGAGTTTTAAGCCACCGGGTCCAGGACTCAAACTGCGGTCGACTACGTGGGAGTCCAGCGACATAGCCATTACGCTAACTGCTGGTTCCCAATATATGAATCATATTTTAAGGGGAGTAGTTCCACTAAAGGTAACAGTTGGAAAAAGCACTATAGTGACTGTTTACCTATGAGTAGTCTCTAGGTCAGTTTAAAATGATTGTCACTCATTTTGAAAGAGTTTTCAAGAGCCTTTGACTGGTTGGCCTTCTGCAGATCACTTTATGTATCTGAAAGCAGCTGAATGAGTTAAAGTCTAAACTTTAGGCAAGGTTTCGATTTGTCCAAATTATTTATTTTTTCTTCTCTGTGTAGAGGACATTGCTAATTTAAAACTGGTGATTTTATGTGGAATAATGTGACTAATAATCATCTCTTTGTCTCTACAGAGGTTGCAGAACTTGAAGCCAATTTACCTTGTAAGTATAGCATATCCAATCAAACATTAAGTGCCACAAAATCATTGCATGAAGAAAGCTTGTTTTATGTTTTAATACCTTGCCTAGCATAAAGTTATTTAATTTTATACCAAAAAAAATGGTAGAGCCTTTTAGAAAATCTATTATAGTAAGAATGAGGTTCTGTACTCTCTGCACATTCAGAATACTTTTATTTATTTATTTATTTTTGGGGGGGAGATTTTTCGCTATAGTGCGCATGCGCTCACCAGACAGACAGAGACATGCAAGACAGAAAGTGAGAAATCACCCCCTGGGGGGATGGTCACGCTGCAATCCCTTCTCCTCCATTCTCCTCTCAGGATCTTGGGCACGTACGCACATGCGCCCAGCGTGAGTTTTAAGCCACCGGGTCCGGGACGCGAACCACGGTCAACTACGTGGGAGTCCAGCGACATAGCCATTACGCTAACTGCTGGTTCCCCAGAATACTTTCTATCTCCATAGTGTAGCAGAGGTGAATTTGGCTAAACTTTCTGTCTCTTCATGTGCATCCTCTCCTGTGTCCTCTTGACATTGAAACATACGTAAATATATATATATAAACAGCCTCATTTTTGTTTGTGATGATGCTACCTTTTTGGCCCAGAAAGTATGTGTCTGTAATTTGTCTTTGTGTTTGAGGTAGAGCAATTTTATGCCTTGTTGACAAGTACTGTCTTCACCTTGCTTGATCGTTCCTGTCCCAGGACACAGGCCCGATTCTGTAGTCCTCAGTCATAAGGTACACTCAGGATGCCTGTTTAGCAGGCATTTATGTAACATGTGTCAGGTGTTTGTTTTTTCTATCATTAATTCTTTTCTGAGACTTATATTTCATAAAACCATCAAAGTCTGAAAACTTTGAATATTTTATTGAAGCTTTGACCTTTTTTGAATTATAACTTTTTATTATCACATTCAATTTAAAAACAGTTCTAAACCTGATGATATCTGTTTATGAAGGTCAATTTTTTTTGTTTGTTTTCTTAGGTTTTTGCCATGTGGCATGTGTCTCTCTCAGAGAGAGACAGAGAGAGGGAAAGTAAGAAGTCACCCTCCCAGGGGATGACTATGCCACAGTCCGTTCTACTTTGAGATTTTAGGCGTTCATACACATGTTCTGGCATGTTTCAGACATCCAAGTCCAGGACTCACTGGTCAGCCATGTGAGAATCCAGCACCTTAACCACCACACTGCATGTTGGCCCCAAAGGTGTAATATCCAGTGAGCCGTACCTTCCACCAGCGTGCTGCTTATGATTCTAAAGAGGAGACAAGAAAGCACCAAAGAATACATCTTCAGAGTTCCATAATTTTCTAGAATGTTTACAGAGGCAAATAGGGTAACTCGATGTGAGCTAGTGCCGCAACATGGAGCTCTGCGAGTACAAGTTGATGCAGGCTTCTTTGTCTCAAAAAACAAAAAAACGTCTTTCAGATAGACTGAGATGCTGGTGGGGTCTTGCTAGCCTGTGCCTTCATCTAGAGATAAAACTTACTTCTGCTGTTTTAATAAAGCCCTTGCATTGAGCTAAAACAGAAATATGGCTTTTAACTTTTGGTTTTTAAACTTAACCCTTTCTTGTTTTCTATTCCACCTTGATAATTCTTCTGTTCTGATGGGGCAACTTATTTCGCAGGGGTTGGTTTCTACATCTGTAACTTTATTAAAACAAAAGTGAATTGTAGACATTATAAACAAGTAGGGGCTGGCTGGTGGCACCAGACATGCCGCAGACTGGTGCCACAAACCGTAATGGGTTGGAGAGATGGAGGAATAAGGATCGTGGCAGGATGGCGCCCCATTCGGGAGTGCTTTCTCCCTCTGTCTCTATCTCTCTGACAAGCACGTGTGCCCTCTGACAGTAATTTTTAAAAAGAATGATGCCGAGGCCAGCTGGTGGCATAGTGGTTAAGGTGCTAGACTCCCACGTAACCAACTAGGGTTCGAGTCCTGGACCTGGCAGCTTGAAACTCACTCTAGGCTCATGTGTATGCATGCCCGAAGATTCTGAGAGGAGAATGGAGAAGGGATTGCAGTGTGGTCATCTCCCCTGGGGCGTGATTTCTTGCTTTCTGTCTCTCTGACTGTCTCTCCTATGAGAGCATGTGCCCTATAGCAAAAGTCTCTCAAACAAAACAAAACAAGACAAAACAGTATGATATCAGTTTCAACTAACAGTAAAACATTTCCAAAACCCTAATCATATGTTTTTGTTATGTTTATCTCACTAGAAAGACAGCATTTATCTTTTCTTGTTGAGATTAGGAAAAATGAACTCATTTTAAGTATTCCATACACAGCTGTAAATGTGTGATTTGGGAGAACATCCTGAACCCCTTGGCTCCAGGATTTCTAAAATAAGGACTGTGACAAAGCGGTCTCTAAAACCACCTCTCACTCAGAGAAAGAAACTCCACCACCATCCTTGTGTTGTTTTTATGTGTCATATCCCAGTGTCCCGTGTCTGACGTGTTCACTAGGTGCTGAAAGGATGTAAAGTGCAGGAGTGAGGTGCGGTAGGGGAAGGAGTCACGGACTAGTTAGTAATTTGGAAACCAGCCTTGCTTCTGCTGTAACCTGTGATCTTAGGCGAGTCGCACACCCTGTCTGGACCCTTATATCATCCATCTTCATTGAGAACTTCAGACTAGATGATCTCTGAGTATGGGTTTGAATGGCCTTTTTTTTTTTTTAAATGAAAATCTCTGTCATTTACAAAGCTAAAGCAAGTTTCTTTAGCATGACTCATAAGAATGAAGTCAGTAGGTGAACTGAGGTACTTAGCCTAGTATAGTCTTGATTTATATACAAATATAGAAAATCACTATGAATATTCCCTCTGGATACCTTGAGTCTTTATTCTGTGGGGAGTTACCATGTTTTAGTATCAAAGAAGATACAAATGTGGGTATAGCCTACATTCGTGGGTATAGTTTCCACTTGTCCCGTAACCAGGAGCTTTTCTCCCAGGGGGTACTCCTGGCCTCTGGGAGCACGGGGCACAGAATGTTGCCAGCCAAGCCAGCATGATTTCACCCACAAAGTGACCTAAGGTACCAGATGGGCCATGAAGATACTCTAAAGTAAAACAGGGTCAGTTCTGTGGCATGGTGCTTAAGACAGCATGGCCAACTGTGGGGGTCAAGTCCCAGACCTAGCATCTTGAGAAACACTCAGGGTGTGTATGCTTGTATGCACAAAATCCTAGAAGTGGGGGGAGATGGAGGAGAAGATACTGTGGGAATTGCTTTCTCCTTTTCCTCTATCTCTGGTGAGCACACATGCCCTCTGGCAAGGAAAAAAGGAAGGAAGGAAGCAAGCAAGCAAACAGCAAAACAGTGGTGCCAGCCCCATCATGCAGAGGTTAAGCAGTGTGCAGAGAAATTTTCCATGGTCAATTAGGGTTCAAGCCCCGGCCATGGCTGCAATATGCCCACACATGACTAAGTTCCTTACAGGATGGAGAAAGGAAAAGAAGCAGGATTGCCATGTGATGGGGCCTTGCTAGGGGTGTTTTTTTTCTGTTTCCCTTGTGTGTGTATGCAAACATAAATGAAAAAGGAAAAACGTAAGCCCTGGTAAACCCTGGGTGTGTACTCACTCTTAGGTGCCACACTTGTTTTTAGCCTCCATTTCCATGGGGCATTAAGTGCTGATGGTGCTCGGGAAACAGACTGGAAGTTTGGCCTGGCTCTTTTTCTGGTTTCTCATTATTTACTTAGCTTTTACCCATGTCTATTAATCTTTGAGGTTTGGTTTCTTCAGTAAAATAGTGCAATTCTTGGAATTAATGGAAGGAACTCTGTTTTTAATGGCCATTTAAATGTTGAAGGGAATTCAACCTGAATTCAATTTGTAATTAACTATTGGGTCGTCAGAAAAGTCACAATGTATTTTTTCTTTGCAAAAGTGCATTGACTTTTTGGTGTTTTTTGTTTGTTTGTTTGTTTTGTTTTGTTTTGTTTTGTTTTGAGAGGTTTTTGCTATAGGATGCGGGCGCTTGCGAGAGATAGAAAGCGAGAAATCACCCCCCGGAGGGGATGGCCACGCTGCAATCCCTTCCCCTCCATTCTCTCAGGATCTTAGGCACGCACGCACACACTCCCGGCATGAGTTTAAGCCACCGGGTCCGGTACTTGAACTGTAGTTGACTACATGGGAGTTCAGACATAGCCATTATGCTAACTGCTGGTTTCAGCATTATGACTTTTCTGATGACCCAATAGTAGGGCTAAAATGCACCCACGCATGTGCTCTGTGAAGACCATTTTGCAATTTGGGCATATTGGCGTAATTGTCACACAAAACCAAGGGTGGTCCAGACTAAGTCTACAAGCCAGATGTACCCTCTAGCACTGGGACTCAGTGTGTGGTCCTAGTTTAGACCTCAACACACCACTGCAGCCACCTGCCAGACCTTCTTGACATGCTGTTTCTTTTGCAGGTACGTGTAAAATACATTTTCCTGATCCGAACAAGCTTCATTGCTTTCAGCTCACAGTGACTCCAGGTAATGTTCTTACATACTGAAGTGGGAAGGGGATTTTCAGATAACGCATCTGAGAGCCTTCCCAAATCTATAGTCGTTGGCTTGATTTTACCCTAGTTTTTTACCATTCTATATGAAGACAGGACATAGGCTTTGTAGTCAAATAAGGCATAGTGAAATGAGCTTAACAACCAGATGTAATGATGCCTGAGGCCATTGGTGTGTAGTGAAGAGGATGGGCTTTGAAGTCATAGGTAGTTTCTGACTCAGCTCCCCACTTAGTAGCAGTGTGACCTTGGTTAGGTTGCCTGACCTATCTCAGCTGCAGCCTACCTGTGTACAGTGTGGGGATCAAATGGGACCTTTCTCAGGGAGCAGTGTGAGGATTAGATAGATGCTGAGTGCAAAGTACTTGGGCCTAGGCTCTGGCATTCGGAAGTAGGCAAAAGATTACCAGCTGTCCTATCCTTGGACCAAAAAGAGTCTGATCTCATGTTTCCCAGACTGGCAACATACTTCTCGCTCATGCTAGACAGCAAGAGGAATGACATGTGTTCTTTCTAGTGACGGTGCAGGTGCAGGATGGCAGATGCCCTCTGGTGTCTAAGTGTTGGGCGGTAGAGGGGCAGCAGGAGTGCCCCAGGCTAGATGGGGAAGGAAGGAAGAAAGGAGGATGACAGGAATTAACAAGAGGGAAGGGAGGGGTGTGGTGGAAATATGGGGTGTCATTTTATTACATATAGAAAAGGAGTGAGAAGCTGACAGTAATGAGTCACTGGTTAATTAAAAAGTGGAAGAGAACACAGGCTTTTGGTAGGTGATAATGAGCCTAAGAATAAGCCCTGGTCTTACCTCTTGGTGGGTAGGAGGGTTTTTTTTTTATAGTAATAGCAAGAGGGCCCAGCCCTGTAGCAGGGTGGTTAGCACTGCCCAGCAGAACTAGAGTCTGAGTGCCAGCCCCAGCAGCTTGAAGAGCTGCCCAGGCGTGCCCAGATCCTGACAGGCTGGAATGGCCAAGCCCTTATTCCCTGCCTCCCTTTCTCCTCCTTCCTTTCCTTCTCCCCCATTCTCGAGTGTATGCACATGCCCTCTGGTATAAAAAGTAGTAAGAAAAAGCTCAATTTTAAAATGCACATGACCAGGTGCGTGTGCATGCATGCCCAACATCCTGAGAGGAGGATGGGAGAGAAGGGATTGTGGCATGGCCATTCCTCCAGGGGGGGATTTCTTGCTTTCTGTTTTTCTGGCAAGTGCGTGCCGCCTATAGCGAAAATTTCTCGAGAAAAAGAAAAAAAAAGTGTATGAAAACTTTCTGAAGTACCATTGAATCTGTATGGTGGTTCTGAAAAGGACCCTGGGGTCCTTTCAGTCAGCCAGGTACTGACTAATCTCGGATGAGGGGAGTACTCGGATATAGTTGATGCCAGAATACCACCGTTGGAAATGGGGTGTGCCCCACACCTGACCTCTACAGATAAGTGAAGGACTTTGAGCTAGTCGAATCAGATGATGACAGTGCTAACGGTCCTTTGGCTGCTTTCCTAAACACGTGCACATTCTGTCATGTTTCTCAAAGGATATTGAGCACACGGGCGCTCTCCTGGTGACCAGGTCACTATCAGGAGCGTCATTTACTGTGAGTCAGGTAGCGTAGGATATTTTCAGATTGTAGCAACTGAGATTGGTTCTCCAGGACCTCAGACTTATGTGCTTGTAGTAAAATATTCTCTTTCCTCTGCCTTTCTAGGGCATTTTTAGTGGCTGTCAGGACTCCAGTGCCCTGCTCCCACCCCGATTTCCTGAATATGGACCTTGTGGTTCTTGCCACTCAAAAGACCTTTTTGATTTTTCTAGGCTTGTTTCTGTTAAAAGGATGAATTTCTGTCAAGTCTAACCTTTGCACAAGTATTTTGTTTTTACTGAAGTTTCTTACAGAATCACATGAATGTTACGATTATTGAATTTATGTACAAGAGGTCTTTAGAAAGTTCATGGAAATGCATATGATGAAGAAACTATGCATCTTCAAATTTTTCTTCCACCAAAGTAAACTGCTACTTTAATTCCATTTTCCACAAGCTTTTTGAAGCCCTCATGTGTCACCATTTTTAGTGCTGCTCTTATCATTGTTCTTGAAAATAGTGTAATTGTTACAGATTTTATTATTTATTACCATCCTATCTGATAAGAAAATACCTTGTGTCTCGGTGCCTGGAACTTAATACCTCAGCACTTCCATTCCTCGTAATTTCACGTCTGGGCAGTGTCACCACGCTAAGCTGTGTACCTTCACCACTTGGGGTGTCAGTGAATCAGAAAGCCAGAGTGGTTCCTGCCCTGTGTTATTAAAAGAATTAGTATGGCGGAGGCCTCCAACACTAGGAACTTACCTAAATACCATGGATTTTAAAAGGAGACACACCTAAGCAATGAGGTTTTGACACTGTATGAAGCAAAAAGCTTCATAAAAAACTGGCCCGCCTGCAGGCAGTACCCCGGCACTCTGTCAGCAGAGTGCATCCCATTCACACTCAGTGATAGTTCATAGTTTTGCTTGTTTTTGGAATGGCTAACACTGTTCAGAGAAGAGATGGGAATGTACTTTGGTGATGGGGGAAAGAAACTAAATTTTTAAAAAGTCTGCACAAAACAAGAAGAAAGTACTAGCAAGTGAAATGAAACAAGACAAACTCAGCACCCAAAGCCTGGCCAAAACAGCCCTTGGGGGCTTCTGGAAAGTAGGGGCATTGGAAAACCTGGCCAGCGCCTAGGTGGCCCAGCTGGCCTTGGAGTATGCTGCAGCCTGCCCTCCTGCAAGTACGGTGCTGCTGCTCTGACACTTACTTTTTTTGAGTGAGAGAGATTTTTGCCATAGGGTACATGCCCTTGTTGGAGAGACTGAGAGAAAGAGAAGTCACCTCCCAAGGGGAATGGCCATACTGCAGTCCCTTCTCCTCCATTCTCCTCAGGATTTTGGGCACACATACACATGCACCCAGTGTGTTTTAAGCCACCAGGCCCAGGACCCAGACTGTGGTCAACTATGTAGGAGTCCAGCAATGTAACCATTATGTCATCTGTTAGTCCCAGGGCTTATTTTTTAAATCCCTCTTACTGAGGTACCAATAAGAACAACAAAACATACTAATTTGAATATACCTGTGTAAGCACAACCTCCATAAAGATAAAAAGCATCTCTCATCCCACACGTTCCCTTCTGCCCCTATAGAGCCAGTGCCTTGCGCCTCCCCACCTCCACAATTCCTTTCTGGCTTCTGTTACTATAAATTAGAAATTTGTTTTGTTCTTGACTTTCACATAAATAGAATCTTATTTGTACTATTTCTCTCCAGCTTCTTCCACTTAAACATGTTTTTTTATTCACATATGTTGTGTGTATAAGCATTAGTTCCCATTTCCTCACTGTCTGAATATGCTGTAATTCGGTCATCTGCTTTCCTCTTGACAGGCATTTGAATCACTTCCAGCTTTGGGCTATTATGAATAAGACTGCCAAGATATCCTCGTACAGGCTTTTCCTCATACAAGCTTTATATGCTCATACTTTTTGTTTTCCTTCAGTTTTACAAGAGTAGAATTTCTGAGTTTTAGAAAAAGCGTATAGTTAACTTTTAAGGAAGCTTTCCAGTGGGGCTGTACCATTCACTGACCAGCAAAGCATGAGGAATTCCCATTGTCCTACACACGTACCAGCACTTGGGAGTGGTGACGTGCATATTATTGTGTGTGTTTTTCCTTAAAATTTTTTAAAAGAATTATTTCATTTTATATATTACTATTATTATTATTTTAAAATTTGCTACAGGCACTCACTAGACAGAGAAAGCAAGCCACCAGATCCAGGACTTGAACCACGGTCAGCCATGTTCAGCATCTTAACCACTACGCCACCTGCTGGCCCCTTAATTTTAATTTTTTATTTTTGCTAGAAGGCCTGTGTGCTCACTGTGGAGAGAGAGTAATATCCCCCTCCCCCAGATGGAAATGTCACACTGCAGTTCCTTCTCCATCTCTCCTTCTTTTGGTATTTTATGTATGCACATGTACTCTACATGTTTTTCAAGCTGCTGGTCTGGGACCTGAACCATGCAGTCGGCCATGTGGGATTCAGCTTTCTATACATAGCGCTTAACTGCCATGCCATAGGACTGGCCGAATATATGAATTTCAGAATTTTTTTGCACCAAAATGAAATACTTTCATTTTTTTCCATGAACTTTTGGGGTTTATTTTGTTGTTCTTTTTTGTAGCCTTTTAGAGTGGAAACTATTAATAGAGCATTGATTTTCTTTTTTTAGTGTTTTAAAAAGTGTTACATTCTTTTATTTAGCTTAATGCTTTTGAGCCTCACCCATGTTGTTATATTAATCAGTATATTTTCTTATTGGTGAGTTTTGTTGTGTAGCTGTATACTAATTTATCCATTCACCAGTTGATAAACGTTGTGTTGTTTCCCCTTTAGGGCCATCCTATTTGTTAATGTTATCTATAGAAATAACCCAGTTAGGGAATTCTGTAGCTAGATTATGGTGCTTGTATAGTTATGTATATAACTGCCAAAATTTGTTTTAAATGTTTCAATTGTTAGATTATTCATGTTTTTTAATTTGAACATTTAGTTTCTAACCCCCAATGGCATGTGATAATGAAGTGCAGCTTATTGGCTAGTGGTCATTTTTAGCTTCTTCTCAGAGCTTTGGAGCTAAAGGAGTTTCCGAGTGTGTAATAAAGTGCAGTCCCAGTGTCTGACCAAAGAAATACACAGGTTTAAGGGACCAGCAGTTAGCATAATGGCTATGTCGCTGGACTCCCACGTAGTCGACCGCGGTTTGCGTCCCGGACCCGGTGGCTTAAACTCACGCTGGGCGCTTGTGCGTGCGTGCCCAAGATCCCGAAAGGAGAATGGAGGAGAAAGGATTGAGGCGTGGCCATCCCCCCTGGGGGGTGATTTCTCACCTTCTGTCTCTCTGTCTCCCTCTGTCTGGCAAGCGCACGCGCCC